CTTTTTCTTTCTTTCTTTCTTTCTTTCTTTCTTTCTTTCTTTCTTTCTTTCTTTCTTTCTTTCTTTCTTTCTTTCTTTCTTTCTTTCTTTCTTTCTCCCTTTCTCTCTTTCTCCCTTTCTCCCTTTCTCTCCCTTTCTCCCTTTCTCCCTTTCTCCCTTTCTCCCTTTCTCCCTTTCTCCCTTCTCTCTCTCTCTCTCTCTCTCTCTCTCTCTCTCTCTCTCTCTTTCTTTCTTTTTTTTATCTATTTATTTTACATCCTGGCGGTAGCCTCCTCTCCCATCCTTTCCTCCCAGTCCTTCTCCCCTGTTACCTCCTTTCCACCCTCATCCCCTCCTCTTGCATCTCCATCCAGGAAAGGGCAGGTCTCCTATGAGTACCAATAAAACTTGGCATGTCAAGTTGCAGTAAGACTAAGCACCTCCCCACGTACTAAGGCTGGGCAAGGAGGCCCAGTGTGAGAAGTAGGGTCCCAGAAACCAGTAGAAGAGTCGGAGACAGCTCCTGTTCCTGCTGTTAGGAGTCCCTTAAGAGGACCAAGCTACACAACTATAACACATGTGCAGAGTGCCTAGGTCAGTCCTGTGCAGCCTCCCTGGTAGTTGGTTCAGTCTCTATGAGCCCCTATGAAACCATAATTGTGTGAGCCTTCTCATGGAGGGTTTTCTTGATTATGATAACTGATATGGGGTGACCCCGTCCACTGTCGATGACACTATACCAAAGTTTGGGCCCTGGGCTGTATGAGAACGGGGAAAGTAAGTTCTAGTAGATGTACCTACATCAATTCATCTTTCTCTGCTCTTGAGTGTGGATATGATGTGATTATCTGCTTCATATTCCTGCTGTTTTGACTTGTAATAATTCACCTGGAATTTTATAAAAAAACAAACCTATTTTCCCCTAAGTTGCTTACCATCAGGGTATTTTATCACAGCAACAGAAATACAGTAGAAGATGGCCTGATTCTGAGCCAAGTATACAGCTGGTGCTCAGAATGTGACTATGTTGAGAGAAAAACATAGCTTCCTCTTCAATGGAAAGAAGAGAGAGTTTATTCTGGAGCCAAGTGTAAGTGGCCATGGTCCAGGAAACCAGATTCAGGTTATCCCAACACGATGTTCAAATATTTGTGATGTTTTTTATAGTAACAGGAAAAAAAATCAAAGAAGGTAAATTTAAAATACATTGGTGGGAACATCAGTAGGGCGGGTCACAGCCAAGTCTATAAGCCTAAGATGTTATCTAATGACATTCTTAGCCTTTGGGTTGGTGAAAGTTAGGGGGTCTCTTTGTACATTCTAAAAAGGATTTGCCCCAAGAGTGTTAGGTCAAATTCAGAGGTGAGCAAGGAATGGCTATGGTAATGGTAACCCAAGATTACCCAAGGTTACCCCAAGGTAACCCAAGGTCTGTCACTGCAGCATTCCAGCTCTCCGTAATGACAGAAGTTCAGGTCGGTCAGTCAGCCCTGCAGAACCTTTAACACGTGTGCAGCCTTTTATCTTGGCACTTCAGTTCACCTCTGCAGAACAAAGGAACCTCCCTGGAGAGGCTTTCAGCACAGTGCCCGGCATGGCAGGTCTCTGGAAAGACCAGCTCAACAAAGTGTGGAATTACTCTGGCTAGAGCTTGCGTACTATGATGTTGCCCACCTCTGGTGTGTATGGAAGCAGGAAAGTGATCATGATTGCTTGCTAACACGTTCTTAAAGCCAAACTTTGCTGTGCAAGGGCAACCTCACTTATGACCTAGAAGGCGTTGGGACCATTCTCTTAGCAAATTTACTGGCGTTGGGTGCTCAGAAGCTTCCTAGTCATGTTTAAGAGGAGGAGGTGGTAGTGTGTGTGTGTGTGTGTGTGTGTGTGTGTGTGTGTGTGTGTGTCCGTCCCAGCAGCCTGGCTCAGGGGCACAGCCTCCAAACTGTTCCAGCCCTTGGCTTTTCCTGCAGGGAGACACGGGCAGGTTTCTCTGCAGCTAAGGGGAGCCCAGGCCTTCTGGTTTGGGGGAGAGGCATCCAGCGGGAAGTTGAAGAACCGGACTCCTGAAGACTCCATACCTGCTCTTTGAGACCGCAACTCACGTATTAGCTAATTCCCTCATTGCTGGGACATATATCCCACAAAATCAACTTAATGAAAGGTTTCTTTGACACATGGTTTGAGGGTGCAGCCCACCATGGTGGAGAGGGAGGAAATTGGCGGCATCTTGGGTGTAGTCAGAAAGCAGGGAGGGATCAATGCTGCATGAGGCTGCTCGTGTTTGTCAGTGACCCCGGGCTATGGCATAGCGCCATCCTCGCATAGGGTGGGCCTTCCTACTGTGTCTTAATCTGGAAAAACCCTCCCAGATGAGTGTTTCCGTGGTGATTCTGAATCCAGTCAAGTTGATAATAAAGATTCGCCATCACAGTGCCCAAAGCCAGGACTGTACTGTGACTCTCCTGGCTTCTGGGCACTTAAATTGTCTCCTATGACTGAGTTGGTATAGACTGTGACCCAAGCTGAATTATATGCACTCCGTCTTGATTCTTTATTGTACCCTGTGTCCACATGGGTCCAGTAGAGAAACTTAGCCCTGCCCGAAGCTTCTCAGGTTCAGATCCTATTCATCCTCTGTCTCTCTGTCTCTGCAGGTTCCGCAGCGGATGGCAGTAGCAGATGGAAGCCCAGAGGACAGCGGTGGTGGCTCACCAGGAGTTTGGGGCTCCTGGGGCCCCTGGTCTGCCTGCTCACGCAGCTGCAGCGGTGGTGTGATGGAGCAGACCCGGCCCTGCCTGCCCAGCTCCTACCGTGGCCGCGGAGGCTTGCGGCCCAGTGGCCCTACGCTGCCCTTTGCTGGCCACGTTGTGTCGGCTGTCCGCACTTCAGTACCGCTGCATCGAAGCCGTGAGGAGCAACGGGCCCTGGTGGGCTCCGACGCCAGCCGCCCAGGCCCCACAGTGGTTCGGGGCAGCCGACACCCGCAGTCCCGGGGCCGAGAACCCTCAGAGAGAAGGTATGTGCGTGTGCCGTGGACCCCGTGTCTGTCCCTGCCTTGGACCACAATGGAGTCACTGCCTTCGTTCTGCAGAGTGGGAGGAATTCTTGCCTTCACCCCTTATGTGCATAAATGTGCCTGTGGAGGCCAGTGGAGACCACAGAACAGCATCTGGTGTGGCTCTTCAGGCCGAGTCTACCCTTTGGTTTTTTTGGGGGAAAAAAAAAATCCCTTACTTGGCAGAAACTCACGGCTTTGGTGAGGCTGACCAATCAGGAGCCTCCAGGATTCCACCTGTCTCCTCCTCCCCAGCTCTGCCTGGCTTTGCTCCCCAACCCCCTCAGTGTGTTCCTAGGGATGGAAGTCAGGTCCTCCTCTTGCAGACAGTTGCTCTACTCCCCGAGACACTTCCCCAGCCCCCACTTAGCTTCTGACTTATTTTTGCAGCCTCTACAGTAACCAAGGCCACTCCTACCTGCTCTTTGGTTGTAAAAATTACTTCTAAAAGTGAAGGAAATTCGGAGAAGCCATTAGATGTCACACCTCAGGGAGACCTGTGAAGGTGGGAGAGGAGGAGGGGACCCTGTGTGCTGGCTGGACACAAGGTAGAGTCATCTGAAAGGAGGAGCCTGCATTGAGAAAAACACCATACAATCTGGCTGTAGGGCATTTTCTTAATTAGTGATTGATGGGGAGGGCCCCGCCCATTGTGGGTGGGGCCACCCCTGGGCTGGTGGTCCTGGGTTCTGTAAGAAAGCAGGCTGAGCAAGCCATGAGGAGCAAGCCAGTAAGCAGCACCCCTCCATGGCCTCTGCATCAGCTCCTGCCTCCAGGATCTGCCCACAGGTTCCTGCCCTGCTTGAGTTCCTGCCCTCACTCCTTTTAATGATGAACTGTCATATGGAGTGGTGAGTGAAACATGAACCCTTTCCTTCCCGAGTTGCTTTTGGTCATGGTGTTTCACCACAGCAACAGTCATCCTAATGAAGACACCTGGGTGCCAAGATGGCACCACTGTGCTGCGGGGGACTAGAAACCACTAGTCACAGGCTGTGTGGATTTAAAGACAGGACACAAGACACAGAGACTTGCTAAACAGTGTGGTCTCCTAAACAGACCTGGATAATCACAAGTTGTCCACGTTTTAGAGAGAGAATTCGGGATGTATTTCACATATGGTTAACAATCCCTGTAGGATGTGGCATAGCCTCCATGGCCAAACACAGGATAGTTTCTGCAAGGAACCGTGAATGCTTCTACCAAATAGGTTAGCAATAAGACTCTAAATAGCCTAAACCAGTGAAGATCATGTTTCCTGCCCAGTGAGGATTGTCACCAAAACATAATAAAAAGGCAAAGACAAAAACTTGCTTTTCAGAACTCCTGATTTCCAAACCGAGGTGAGGTCATCCCTCGGGCTCACTGTGTGCCCATGGCGTGCCAGGGGCTGCTCTTGCCGCTTCCTGCTGACATCTGAGACAGGCGCTAGGGTTATTCTCCTCTTAGAGGCCAGGAGACAGAGGCTCGCTTGAGACTGGGCTTTCCCCAGAAGCAGTGGGCGAAGAGTCGGGGTTCACATCAAGGCGGTGGTGGCTCTAAGGAGATGATAAAGCAGGGATGATACCCTCAACGTCTGGGGACTGAGGAGTGTGAGTGACAACCCAGAGTTGTAGAGCCAGCCAGTGAGGTGAAATGTGAAGGTGTTGCTGCGTCAGACTCCCAGGTCCTTTCAGTACTCAGGTCTCTGTGGGCACCGGCTTTGGGGCTAGAAACCCCGGGGGTGGGAGGGAGATCCTGGGAGGGGAGAGGGCTCTGTGGTTGAGCTTCCAGGAGATCTGTGAGCCTCATGCCCAGGCTGCAGGCATTCGGCTGAGCATTTTGATAGCAGGGTACCTTGTCTCTTCCAACTTATTGACAAAGGGCCAGTTCCCTGCTTACTGTGAGGTTCCTCCTCATTTTTACCATGCTCTTGTAAATTGACAGTTTCAGATGAAACAATCCAAATATTAGCTGGGAGGCCTGTGCTGCTGAAGAATGCTGGGCTCTTCCCGCCTGACGCAGTCCACATTTGCTTATATTTATCAGTCATTAGGCGCCCGCACAGTATATCTAACCCCAAGGAGAAATGTCAGCATGTTCCATGGAGAGTTGGCCGCTCTGTTCTCTGTTGTGGGTTGGAGATTTGAGGCGGAGGCCGTTGGTGTTTAGCTGCTTGTAAAAACTGTTAGGTTGCTGAGCCAAGCAACTGAGAACTTAATTGGAGCCATATAATAAATAGAACGATTCAACCTTCCTACAAATATTTATGCAGTATCCAGTGCGTAAATAAAGGAGGGCCCCAGAACAGACACTACGGTGGATACAGACTGCTCTGTGGGACTGTAAGGTCCTTACTGGCAGGCTGGAGCAGTTGTTTGCAAACTTACCATGTTCTTACTCTCCACCACCTATCCGTGTGTGTGTGTGTGTGTGTGTGTGTGTGTGTGTGTGTGTGTGTGTGTGTGTGTGTGCTGGCTCCCTACATTCATGGACATGTGTGGAGGCCAGTGATTGATGTCGGATGTTCTTCCTCAATTGCTTTCTAGCTTGCTCTTCTAAGAAAGGTTCTCTCCCTGGACTAAGAGCCTAGGACTTACTAAAAGACTGGCTACTGAGTCCCAGAGACTTCTTGTTTCTGTCTAACACCCCACCCCACCCCAGCACTGAAGTTCCAGGTGCACACTGCCATGCCTGGCTCTTTTAAATGTGGGGTCTCAGGGATGAAATACCAGTCCCTATGCTTGTGTGGCAAGCAATTTATTGACTGAGCCGTCTCCGCAACCCAAGTTACTGCTTTTTAAGCGTGAGAATCCTTTCTGCGAAATCATTCTGAAATGGCAACTCAGTTTGTACCCTGGATGGAAGCTGGCTTGCTCTGCAAAGCACCTCAAGGCCAGTGCTGTGGAAAAGTGGATTCTAGACCCAGACAGTGCAGTGGTTTTCAGCCTTGCCTGGAGACTAGACTCCCCTGTCTTCCCACCTCTTTGGAAACGCCATCTGCACCATATTCCAAACCTACCTCAGAATCTCTGGGCTCATCCACAGACAGAGACAGTGTTCTAATCCAACCCAGTTTGGGAGCCACTGGTCTTTGGAACATCATATTTGTTTGGAAAGGAATATGGAAATTAAACTCGTCTTGCAGAACTTTCTAGTTTGGTGAGCACATACCACAATCTCTTGCAGTATGTATGTATGTATGTGGAGAGGTCATAGCTTGTTTAAAAAGAGCTATAAGTCCCCACCCCCTCCTTATCTACTGGGGATCCAGTTTGCAGGTCAGTAGTATAGGGACAGACCCCAGAAGTTGAGAGCCACCACTCTGGAGGGCTAGAGGACATGTATGCAAATGTCATTCAGTGTGATGATACAGTACCAATCACAGTAATAGAGACCACGTTGGACTCTGGCTCATGTACAGTGCATTTAACACACGTACACAGCTCCACTAGGCAGACACTATTCTTCACATTTTACACACAAGCCCGCAGACACTCTGAAGAGTGTGGGAACTCACTCAAAATGACTCACATCAGAAGCAGCAGCTGGTCTGGCACACACAGGTCTAACAGAGTGCAGCCTGTGACTTATTTCCACTGTGGGTGTTTTTGAAAGGGAGGCAGCTGATAACCAGCAGGTGTGGTCAGAGTCGCTGCTTAGGGAGCCGGCAGTCTTGAGAAGTGGAAGGTATTTCATAGCCAAGCCTTACCCCAAGTGTCTCCCTCAGACTATCCAACCTCCTTCATCAGGAAACCCCTCTCGGCATCTAGTCCTAGGTACCAAAGGGGTTAAGAAAACCAAAAGCCACGGCCCATTTTCTGGGGGGTCCTTACACTGTGGTGACAGGAGATGGGTAAGCCCTCTAGGTCCTGCGCATGCTGGATGGTGGTAGAGGAGGGGGCAGACAGGAAGACTACCCGCAGCGGTGGGGTTGAGCCTCCTGCTGTGAACAGAATTTATTTAATGAGCTCTGTCTGGGAGCGTTTTTATTCTACCTGCTTCCATAGCAGGCCTTTCTACGTGTTGTCACGCAAACACGTGTGTGCACTGTATTCTGCTCTACAGCCTCCAAGGGGGGTGCTCCTGCTAGAGCTCTCCTAGAGAGTTCGGGGTTCAAAGAGTTTCCAGTCCCTGACCCTCAGTTGTCTCATATCTCTTATGAGGTTAAGAATGACGGTACCGATTGTGAGTTAATATTGATTCCCAACTTGACAGCGTCTAGCATCACCCAGGAGACGAACCTGGGTGTGTCTGTAAGAAGTTTTCTAGATTTTGTTGAGTGAAGTGAGAAAATGTACCCTAACTGGGTAGCACCCTTCCCTGGGCTGCCACCCTGGACTGAATGGAATGAAGGGCACTGAGCACCAGCGTCCATCTCTCCCTGCTTCCTGACTGTGCATGGCATGCGGCCAGCCGCCTCACACTCCTGCTGCCACACCTGGCCCGCCACAATGGTCTGCCTAAAGACCTGAGTCCATATCCCCAGCTCCATGCCATATAAAAACCGTACACGCCATATACATCTGTAGCTCCAGCTCTGGGAGGCAGAGACAGGAGGAAGCTAGGAGCAGTCTAGCCCAACCTGTGAGCCTGCGAGCTTCAGGTCCAGTGAAAGAGCATGTCTGGAGGAAGAGTGACTGAAGAAAGACATTCTGACATCAACCTCTGGCTTCCACAAACAACTACGTGGGTGAGCATGCCAGCATCCACCCATGATTACCCGCCCCCCCCCCACACACATTTGTGTGTGATGATGGTCAAGGACTTCATCGCTAAGTTACATCTCCAGCCCTGTTGTATATATTTGAACTCAATTTTTTGATTGGAGGGGAAAAAAAGAGATGCCAGAGTTTACATAATAACAAGGTTCCTTCCAGGCCATAGGCGCTTATTTTAAGAAATTGTGGGGGACGTCTGTTCTTGTGAAAAGTGTCTTCAGTTCCATGGGTGTGGGGTGCACACTGCTGTTTGCTCTGGCA